AACGCCAACCCTTAAATGCCAACCCTTAAACGCCAACCCTTAAATACCAACCCTTAGTCGCCAACCCTTTAAATGCCAACCCTTAAACGCCAACCCTAAATCGCCAACCCTTAAAAACAAACCTTAAAACACCAACCTTTAAACACCACCTCTTAAGCACCAACCCTTAAACGCCAACCCGTAAACGCCAACCCTTTAACGCCAACCTTTAAACACCAACCCTTAAAGGCCGAACTTACACGCCAAACCTTTAAACACTAACCTGTCAACACCAACTCTTAACCCTTAAACGCCAACCCTTAAATACCAATCTTTAAACACCAATCTTTTAACGCCAACCCTTAAATGCCAACCCTTAAACGCCAACCCTTAAACACTAATCCTTAAACGCAAACCCTTAAACACCAACCTTTAAACACCAACCCTAAAACGCCAACCCTTAAACGCCAACCCTTAAACGCAAACCCTTAAACGCCAACCCTTAAATGCCAACCCTTAAACGCCAACCCTTAAATACCAACCCTTAGTCGCCAACCCTTTAAATGCCAACCCTTAAACGCCAACCCTTAAACACTAATCCTTAAACGCAAACCCTTAAACACCAACCTTTAAACACCAACCCTAAAACGCCAACCCTTATACGCCAACCCTTAAACACCAACCCTTAAACGCCAACCCTTTAAATGCCAACCCTTAAACGCCAACCCTTAAACACTAATCCTTAAACGCAAACCCTTAAACACCAACCTTTAAACACCAACCTTTAAACACCAACCCTTAAAGGCCAAACCTTACCCGCCAAACCTTTAAACACTAACCTGTAAACACCAACTCTTAAGCACCAACCCTTTAAACACCAACCTGTGAACACCACCTCTTAAGCACCAACCCTTAAACGACAACCCTTAAACGCCAAAACCTAAACACGCTAAAACACCAACCCTTAAACACCAACCCTTAAACGCCAACCCTTTAACGCCAACTCTTAAACACCAACCCTTAAACGCCAACCCTTAAATACCAACCTGTAAACACCACCTCTTAAGCACCAACCCTTAAAGGACAACCCTTAAACACCAAAACCTCAACACGCTAAAACACCAACCCTTAAACACCAACCCTTAAACGCCAACCCTTAAACGCCAACCCTTTAACGCCAACTCTTAAACACCAACCCTTAAACGCCATCTCTTAAACACCAACCTTTAAACACCAACCCTTAAAGGCCGAACTTACACGCCAAACCTTTAAACACTAACCTGTCAATACCAACTCTTAAGCACCAACCCTTAAACGAAAACCCTTAAAACGCCAACCCTTAAACACTAACCCTTAAACGCCAACCCTTAAACGCCAACCTTTAAACGCCAACCCATAAATGCCAACCCTTAAATGCCAACCCTTAAACACCAACCCTTAAACGCCAACCCTTTAAAGCCAAGCCTTAAACACCAACGTTTAAATGCCAACTGTTACACGCCAAACCTTAAATGCCAACCCTTAAACACCAACTCTTAAACGCCAACCCTTTAACACCAACCCTTAAACGCCAACCCTTAAACACCAACCTGTAAACACCAACTCTTAAGCACCAACCCTTAAACGAAAACCCTTAAACGCCAACCCTTAAACACCAACCCTTTAACGCCAACCCTTAAACGCCAACCCTTAAACACGAACCTTTAAACACCAACCCTTATACGCCAACCCTTAAACACCAACCCTTAATAGCCAACCCTTAAATGCCAACCCTTTAACGCCAACCCTTAAACGCCAACCGTTAAACACCAACCTGTAAAAACAAACACTTAAGTACCAACCCTTGACAACCTTTAAACGCCAAAACCTAAACACGCTTAAACACCAACCTGTAAACACCAACCCTTTAACGCCAACCCTCAAACGCCAACTCTTTAAACACCAACCTTTAAACGCCATCTCTTAAACACCAACCTTTAAACACCAACCCTTAAAGGCAAAACTTACACGCTAAACCTTTAAACAGCAACCTGTAAACACCAACTCTTAAGCACACATCCCTTAAACGAAAAACCTTAAACACCAACCCTTAAACACCAACCCTTATACGCCAACCCTTAAACGCCAACCCTTAAACGCCAACCCTTAAACACCAACCCTTAAACACCAACCTTTAAACACCAACCCTTAAACGCCAACCCTTAAACGCTAACCCTTAAACGCCAACCCTTAAATGCGCGAACTTGTACCAAAACGGTCAGGCCGATCTGCTACAGAGCAAACAAATCAGGGAGACACATGGAAGGGGAGCTTTATTGACATTGGGACACTGCTTAAGAACTGGATAAAATGGTACAAAAGCGAAAACGATGTAAAAACTTCAGAAATAGCTACGCTGAACTCAGACCCTCTCGCACAGACAAACAGAGATTATATAATGAGGAAAAATTCGGAAAAGAAACGGGTGGGGCTGACAACCCCGATGTCAGAGGGGGACAGAATATTAAAACTAAGTCACCAGGGGATTCTGTACTGATAACGCGAGAAAGGGCGGAGCCGAAGCTCCGAGGCAACTCTCCAGGAAAACGCACACCACGCACAGACGGCCGACACAAACATCGCGACAGGCACGACGCACCAGACAAATATAAATCAAACACCCCACAAAAACCACATAAGTATGAGCCATGGGATAAACAGGAGTCACCGAGCAAAGCTGACCCACGTTACAGGCGCAAAAGACACTGCAAAAATCATGTTAAGCAACGCCACCGTGATATTAATAACTCATCCGAATCTGACTCGGATGACGATGATCAACTTTCCGATTACTGTTCAGTAGTAAAACTCTGAAATCGATGGACAAAGCTCTCGCCAGAATTCCCTATTTTGATCGACACAATAAGAACAGAGACATACACACTCACATTGCAATGGTAGAAGCAGAAGCAATGATCAGGGGTCTGAGAAAAACGGATGAGAAAGCCAGTTTGCTGAAACGCAGCTTGCATGGACAGTCCATATCATGGGTAAAGTTGCTACCATACGAGGTTCGGAACGATTTTAAAAAGCTGAGCTTGGCAGTGATTAGGAAGTTTGGACAATATCTAACACTGTCTGAGGGAATTAACGCTGCAAAATCTATGACCCAGTGCGCAGATGAGGATCCTCGAGAGTACCTCATACGATTTAAAAGAGCGTACTATGCGGGCGATGTGGATCAGTATCACGAAGGTGACAAAAGATTAAAAATTATGTTTTTCGGATCCTTGGGTCCAGAGATTACAAAAATCGTGGGAATGGTTTTGGATCCAGAGACGGCCTCCTTACACCACATAGTGAATAAGGCTCACATGGCTTGGCTGTACAGAGATAAGAACAATAATTCCACAACACACAGTGAACGAGGCAAGGCAACCAGTATTTCAGAAGGAAATAAAAATCAGGGGAGCAGAAACAAAACATCACCTGCGAGGCACTCAAGACACGCAGGCCCACAGTGCAGGAAACAAAAAGCACCCGCGAATTACCAACGTAATTACATAGCCAGGTGGCCAGATAGCAATTACACGAGACAATGGCACACAGACCAGGAGCGATCGCAGCGTGCAGGGACGCGTATTTGCGAGAATCGCAATGTGTGGAGACCACGAGCAAAGTCAGACCAGTTCCCAATTCCACGGCACACAGACCGAAAGCGTTCGCAGCGTGCAGGGACGCGTATTTGCGAAAATCGCCACGGGTAGAAGCCAATAGCAGGACCAATGCCACGGCACACAGCTAGCCAAAATTACCCACACAGATGGCGAGATAACAATTCCACAATTCCACGGCACACAGGCCGGGAGCGTCCGAAGCGTGCAAGGACGCGTATTTGCGAAAATCGCCACGGGTGGAAGCCAAGAGCAGGACCATATCTATACCCAATGCCACGGCACACTGCTGGCCAAAATTACCCACACAGATGGCGAGATAACAATTACGATCGACAGTGGCACATAAATAATGGGCGATCGCAACACACAAAGACACAATCACGAGAATCACGGCGCGTATAGGCCAAGAGCAGAATCACGCCGATTCCCAACTGCTGTGACAAAGAGGGTGACATGGGCACGTGATGAATCGCTCACAGGGGTTGAGAGGAAAATGACAGGAAGAGCAGTGTCCGCTGAGCTGGAAAAAAATTCACAGCCCTTGAAAAAAATCAAGCAGGCTGGAGGTGACGAACAAAACCAGGAGGGTAACCATGATTGTGGAAAACTAAATGCACCATGCACCCGTTCTGATAATGTGGTGGAGAACGCGAGAGTCGCTCCCGTGGTGAATACACCTATTGAACAGGGAAAAATAACAATGAAGTGTGATCCAACGAGAAATGATAAGCAACAGGATCGGGGGGAAAAACCTGCTTGTTTGGTAAATGGAAACGCGATCAATTGTGTCGCGAAATTGCGTGAGAGTACTGCGAATGTGGCAGAGAAAGATGCTACGGAGACAGAAATCCATGATGGATCGGGGAATGTGTTGAAATCCAGCACATGCAAAAACATGGAATAGAATCGTGGTACGGAGTCATCAAATCAGCACATGGCTGCGGAGAAGGCAAATGACCCCAACAGTCGAGCACGGAAACTCGTGGTGTGTACTAATCCTGGTGGCGCACGACATCACTTCACGCCACATAAACCCACAGGGAAGGCGAGGGATAAAAAAAATTACCGATACGAACCAAGGAACCGTGCTCATTTGGCTAAAGCCATACCGACGATGAACCAAAACGACGATGTGATGATGTTGCATGGAAAGGTCACAGGTTACTCTAAAATACCTGGCCATGAGAAAAAATTATTCTGCACTCTTGACCAAAGGTGGCGGTAAGGTTGCCAATAACTTGGTAAACTTTGATTTAAAGCTTTCGTGACTGCAGTAATTCATATTCTTAGTTTTTTCGGTAAAGTCACGTTGAAGAGAAACAACATGACTTTACCGAAAAAACTAAGAATATGAACTTGGTAAACATTAAACAAAGAGATGCCAGGAGGGAAACGGTGTACCACCGGGCTCGAAACCGCTATCCAGTGTTTCCCAGGAACTGAAACAAAAATCAAAGTAGCAATAATTGATAAGAACCGATGTAACATGTTGCCTTAATTTTTTTATTTTTCCTGTTCTTTTATTTTCTTATTTCAAATGTAATCATGCTAAGTTGTGACACGTACGCGCGCGTTGTAAGGAAAATCACAAACTCGAAGACAATCAATGCTTATGATGGGAAAAGGCATTTTTCTTTTATTTTAAAAATAATCCGTGGCAGACCACAGATCATTTTTAAAAGGGTGGTGTGTTGGATATGAGCCTTTTTCCAAAATTGATATCAACAATAATATCTGCCGATATATATATTTTTTTAAAATAATAACAAAGAAATAATGCATAAAACGCATCAACCCAAAAACACGCAAACACAGATGGAGATCATAAACAGGCCATAAATAAAAAAAGAAATAATAAAACTCTCGAGGCGAGGATGTTAACAGCTATCTGCGAAGATCTCCAGATGAACAAGAGTTTGATGTGCCCCTTTGGAAAGGTCACCCAGAGGCGAGCCTCAGGAAGACAGATGCGAGTTAAACCAATTTTTTTTATTTTCCTTATTTGCCATTAAAACAACGGTTTTAATTTAAAATGCAACAACAAGAATAAGCTAAAATTAGCAATCCTCACGATCACTCCAATTAAGACCAGGCCACCAGATGCATCAGTGAATCCTTATCCAATTATTAATTCGATATCAAATTATTTTCACCTTTAATACGTTTTACTGTTAAAACAAAGCTTGGAGACAGAAATACCGAGTCACATCAAAGATTTTCGAGAAGGAATGAGACAACGGGCAAACTTACGAAACGAGTTAAACAATACTCCAAGAAACCCCGACCACCTTTGTCTCTCTCGCAGCGCGGAGAAACAGGAATTCCACCCTGGCAAGGGGCCATCTGGAAGCAGCCGGGTTTAATGAGAAAACAAAGATCCCCCATATAGCCTTAACAGACTGTAGGGGCAAGTGCTGTTAGCGAGCACCTATGAAGGCCGGAACGGTACACGAGGGGGTGGGTGGCCAGCACCACGCCCGACCGCCTTTGTCTCCCTAGTGGCAATGTTTACACACCGCACCAGGTACTCATTTGAGGCTGAGTCGACCTAGGGGAGGCCCGGGACCGGTTCAGATAATCGTCACTGGTGTTGGCCGTGAGCGGGAATCGAACCCGGGTCACCCCACACACAAACTCCCCCCCCCCCCCCCTCCACGATACCCTTCGGAAACAAAGGAAGATGAGGGCGGGGGGGAACAACTCCCAAAGCCATAACCGCCAGCAAACAATTTTTTTTTAAAGAAAATTGTTTAACAGGTTTTCCCTGCCAGGGATCTGAACACAATTAATTAAAAGATTGGTCCAAGATAAGAATCTCAAAGGAATACATTGCGGCCATTTGAGTTACGTGGTTACGGTCACTTGGGGGTATTTGAGTGGTTCGTTTTTTTTTCTATTGCATAATCTTGCTGGTATCCATGAATGAACAAGACGAATCTATGAACGCATATTTGTGCCTTTAGGAATAATAATGGTTTGAGTGTCTTTCCATATGAACAGCGTTGCATAATAATCAATCGTCCTACTGTTAACAACGTGACAAGAATCTGCATTAAGGGTCGCATATGATCAATGACCGAATGCCGTGTTGTGTAACAATTTAAATACGAATTACATATTATAAGGTTAAGGTTTTGATAGAATAGTTTGCATGTTTTAATCTCTCTCTCAACAACAACAACCGATCAATTGCGTTACGCGTCGGGAATTAAACACAGGTGCCGTTATCGAAGTGAAACAACGCAATCGTGATGTGTACCATGTTAATGCTGTGTTGAAATTCCGAGGTGGAGAGTTCTCATATTATCCAAAAATTAAAGTTTAGCTAGAAAATAAAATTGATTAAAGCAGAAGAGTTGTGTGTGATTCTTTCCGTGATTCTGCATAGAATTGTTCTGCGAATGAGATCTGAATCTTGGGGACCTATCATAAGCACACTAATCACTAATCCAGCACATAATCAATAAGCGTTAAATCGAAGATAATTGTATCCTTATTGAAAACACGGAATTAAATAACAAGTCGAGTCGACTCTCATTCACGCTCACAATACCTGCACAACTGCATACGATTAATTGCGTTGTTCCAATTAATAACCAACCTTCGTCACCGAGGCTGGACCTAATTATCATAACGACCTGCATCATAACCACGCCCACTCGCATAAATTATTACGATTATCTCTCGAATTAGCATAGTTTATGCACATAATTACACCAATTAATTCGTATAAATTATGCAGATTTCAAATTTAATCAAATTTTCATTATTTTCATCAAATTTTCATAACCTACATAAACAACAACCTTCGAGCACCCATATCTCACAGAGCGGGCCCTAACCTATAACAGCTGGCAGTTCACCAGCATTGCTTCAAGTGAGCTGGAGCGTGCTGATGAATATAAAAACCGGACCAGAGCTTGGTTTGTGTACAACCAATACTGCTGAAATGATGCACTCCCAGCAGGAAAGCCGTGTGGCTAATGGGATGTGTACAAATACTTGTATTTTTTAAGTGGAAAGACAGATATGTGAAGGAGGGGAATTATCGTTTGCGTGTTAATTTTGTTACTCATATCCACGATGTACGCGAATTATTATATTGAAACTTCGCAGAGCTTTCATGAGTAAGAAAGTTGTACCAACAATAATTATTATCGGTTCTATTGCGATCGAGGGCTGCACGTTTCAACGGGCACACATGTGTCATGCTGCGATGGTGACGGTGCTCCCGGTTTTTTAAGACCGGGAGGAAGTGAGGGCTTCACCTTTCTGGCAAATTGCCCGATGATGCTGGATGTAATTACCAGCGAAACGTCGTACTCAAAAATTGTAAATGTTGTGGATTCACTCTTCAACACACCGGTGGGCTGCAGGAGTGATCTATTTCTCTTTTGTCAATGTGACACTTTTTTACTGATTGGCCGTGTCGGGTAGTGGAGGGTTACGACACATTTATGAATAATGCGATCTAACCCAAAAACGTTTATTATGAATAATATTGGTCGTGAAAGCCTACGGCCTTTCTGGCCGTGATTTTTATTTCAGCAGCATTGGTTCAACACGAGCAAACGTCAGAATGGTTTTCAGCTCTGCAAAGCTCATGATGACTTTTTGTGAAGTATTCCACAGTTTTGCATAGAACTAGGACCTGTAACTAACAGAGAGCATCCTTGCCTGCAAATATCTGGCAGTTCACCAGCGTCGGTTTGAGACACTGAATGCTCAAACGAACGCAAATGTGACAATGATTATTTTGTGTTATCTCCATATATAAAAGTTGTAAATACGTGTCTGTTCAAAATGTTTAGCGTACTTTCCGACATGCAACAAACTTGAAATTTGCCATGTGGGTACTTTCCAGACTGTACACCATGCAAAAGTTATGAAAACACACTTTTTTGTGTGTGGGGGGGGGGAGCTCAATAATGCATTTATTTTTTGTACGGCAAGTGAGCTGTGACGTCAAATCTGTCACGTGACCCGCACATGTGGAAGCGTAACGCATTGTGTAGTGGTTAGCGCGCTGCGCTGCGAATCCGGCCACCCGAGTTCGATTCCCGCTCACGGCCACTACCAGTGACGATTAGTTTAACCGGTCCTGGGCCTCCCCTACGTCGACTCAGCCTCAAAACGAGTAACTGCTGTGGTGTGTAAACATCGCCACTGGGGAGAAAAAGGCGGCCGGGCGTGGTGGATCCAAGTCCCAGGAGAAGCTGGGTAGTACAGCTAGTGTATTCATACTCTTTGGTTCTATTGGGTAAAGTCACGTAGGTGAAAATAAAATAACAAAAAATCACGACGTTTTGGCCACAACACAAGCGGCCTTCATCAGGTGAAGGGACGAGACTGTCTGGAGGATAGCGCTGGAGTGGTAGAAGCCACGCTTAGATCACGACCTTTAAGCTGTGTGAGAAGAAAAACACCAAGCACCTTGACAAAGGAATTAGCATAAAATTTAGCATTGAAATGGCTCATTGAAATAGCTAAGTTAAAGTATACACATCCGCAGAGGTACCCCTTGACAAAGGAATTAGCATGGAATTCAGCATGGAAATAGCTGAGTGATTAGCTTGTAACTGGTCACAGAAATAGCTATGTTAAAGATAGAGCATATACATTCACCGAGGCACCTAGTACTCATCAAACAGGATAATTTAGCGAAACACAACCACGCTCAGACAGCAGACCTTTAAACTGTGTGCGAGCAAACAAGGTGTTCTGACAAAAAAAATAGCATAAAAATTAGCATTTGATTGGCGGATTTTAGGAAAGAGGTGGTGTACGTGCCGATGGACTTGCCGTTTGGCGCGGGGGGAAGGGGGGAGGGGGAGTTTACCTATTGATGGTGTGAAAAGGGAATTTATAGCTGCGAAAGTTTGGGGTACCACTACTTGAAAAATATACTGTACCATTGAAATTAGTTTAATGTTTAGTTCGATTTAGAACATCTTTCCAATGGTTGCTTAATTTGAAACCATTCTCTCGGTTGAAATTGTGTCTGTGTTTGTAGATCTGAATTGCTTCATGAACAAATCTCTGATAAAAGCCCGTGGGTTTGCAAAGAACCTTGGTATCGGAGAAAATTATATCGTGATCCCCCACAGCGTTGTAACAGTGATCAGCCACGGCAGAAGAATTCGTTTTGCCGTGTTTCAAATCTGATTTGTGCTCGCGAATTCGGTCAGAGACATGTCGCTTTGTCTCACCGATATAGCAATCACCGCAGGTACAACTCAATTTGTAAACCCCGAGGGTACTGTAAATCAGGAATGACATCCTTCACGGATGGGATCAGATCACAAATTTTGTGTACTGTATTGAACCGGACCTGGATCTTGTGTTTGTTTAGAATTTTGGAAATCTTTTTAGTAACGCCTGCTATATATGGAAGTGTGATGGTTTTGACCGGAGTATCAAGTGGTTGTTTCTGTATGGAGGGAGAGACAGCTTGGCGGATGGTACGGTTAGCGTAACCATTCCTTTTGAGGGCCAGGTGTACATGTTTTAATTCACTGGTCAGGTGGTGTTGGTCCGAAATGCAATGAGCCCTATGGTATAAAGTTTTGATGAGAGAATTATTTTGGGCTGGGTGGTGGTGGGAATCAGGTTTCAAGTAGGAATCTGTGTGGGTGGGTTTCCTGTAGATAGAATGCCCCAATGAGCCATCAGGTCTCCTCTCAAACATAACATCTAAGAATGATAGCTTGCCATCTTTCTCCACTTCCATGGTGAATTTGATGGCGGGATGTCTGGAATTGATGTGTCTGGAATTGATGTGGTGTAGGAAAAGGTTCAGAGCTGGGAGGCCATGTGGCCAAATGACGAAAGTGTCATCCACATATCTCTTCCACAGGGAAGGTCTGAGGGTGGAAGTCTGGATGGCATCTGATTCATATTTCTCCATGAAAATATTGGCTATCACTGGTGATGAGGGGGATCCCATGGGGGTACCCTCATTTTGTTTGTAGAAGGAGCCATTCCAAGTAAAGTAGGTATTATAATCTTAGTTCTTTCGGTAAAGTCACGTTGAAGGGAAACAACAAAATATATATTATATATTTCACTGGCAAGACCGCCTCAGCAGTACTTAACTCAGCCCAATTGGTCTCTATGGTCAAAGACGTTGTACTGTCCCCTGACGATATCCTTGTCAGCTTCGATGTGCTTTCTTTGTTCACCAAGGTCCCAGTACCTGATACCATTGAAATAATTTAAAATTTGGTCCAACATGGACTAGACCCCGACAAACCTGCACTGGTTAGGCACTGCCTCAACAATACCTACTTTACTTGGAATGGCTCCTTCTACAAACAAAATGAGGGTACCCCCATGGGATCCCCCTTATCACCAGTGATAGCCAATATTTTCATGGAGAAATTTGAATCAGATGCCATCCAGACTTCCACCCTCAGACCTTCCCTGT